CTCCCACAGGGGGAGCTCTGCTCAGCCACAAGCCAGGCTGACAGCTGCCAGTACAGCAGTGGTGGTGGGAGCCTTTCCCACCTCCGCTCCCACAGGGGGAGCTCTGCTCAGCCACAAGCCAGGCTGACAGCTGCCAGTACAGCAGTGGTGGTGGGAGCCTCTCCCGCCTCCTCAGCAGCGCTAAGGATGTCTGACAGCAGCTAGGCCTGCTCGCCGCTGGCAAGTGGACATCCCCCGAGGGCTGCCGGGCTGCCAGAGGGATGTCTGACTGCCAGCTTAGGCCCAATTCCCTGGGGAGTGGGCCTAAGCCAGCAGATGGTCATTCCCCGAGGGGTCCCAAACTGCGAGAGGGCACAGGCCAGGCTGAGGGATCCTCCCGAGTGCACAAATTTTTGTGCACCGCGCCTCTAGTCCTATATAATAAAAGCCTAATATGCTAAGTGTCTGGTCATCCGGTGGTTCGTTCAACCAATCAAAGCATAATATGCTAATGATATGCTAAGGCTGCTTAACCGCTCACTATGACATGCACTGACCACCAGGGGGCAGATGTTCTGACCAGTAGGTTAGCTTGCTGCTGGGGTCTGGCTGATCGGGACTGAGCGAGACAGACCGGACACACCCTGGAGCCCTCCCACAATCCCTCTCTGGCTGGCCAACCTCCTGCGTCCCTCCCCAGCCCCGATCATGCACTGGTGGGGTCCCTCAGCCTGGCCTGCACCCTCTCGCAATCCGGACTGAGGGATCCACCCACCCCCCCGAGTGCCCGAATTTCATGCACTGGGCCTTTAGTATAAAATATTTCTGTATATAGTTATACGCAAGAAGCAACTATGCATCTTATATTGGTTATATGTCCTATATTTCATTCTAGAAAGCAAATCATACTGTTTAGCATAGAACCATTTGCATTGAGATATACCTTAGGTCAAAAAATAAAAGTTTTACTTTTAATGCTGCTCTGTGAAACTACCACTTCTATGAGGAATATTCCCTCTACAATTGGCAAAATAAGATGCTACGAAAGAGTTCAAAGTACTTGGCTTCTAAACTAGAAGATATTTTCTTTACCTCTGCTACATTTATGGCACATAAGCAAAATAGGTCTCAATAGAAGTCTATTACTTTGTGGTAAATTTAATTTAAATAAAAACAGATTTATTGAGTGGCTATTATAGTCTAAACACTATGCTAGGCCTGGAGATAAAAAAATAAATAAACAAAGATTTGGTCTTTACCTAAAGGGGGCTCACTATTCGCAAGACTTAAAAAACAATAAATAGATCCAGTATAATCTTTTAAATTAATCACAAAAAACTAAGTAATTGTGAAAAGCACCCATGTAGAGTGAAACATAATACTATGGAGTATGTAAGCATGCCAATGAAAACACTTTTGATACATATAATAATGGATAATGGCTATTTAAATACCTACTATTGAATGGACAGATAATACATTTTTAAACTATGGAATATATAAATCCAGCAAGGGTCACACAGACATTATTACCATTGCTTTTGAAAAATAATAATAATAACTTGGGTGGCAGTATCTCTACTTTTCTTTCTTTTTTCCCCTTCTTTGTTTCTCTGTTGACCTTCTAATGTCCAGCATGTGTGCTCAAAAGAGCAGAAGGTATTGGCCAATACAGATCTCCATGAAAACATGAAAGAAACAGTAGGGGAAAAAAAGTCTCATTTCTTGATATTCAAGCAGGCAAACATGAGACTATATTGTTCTGTAAAAGAAAGATGCTTATATGTCTTACAGTTTTGATATCACATTCCTACTTTCAACTTAATATAAAGTAAATATTTTCTTAGTATAACTAAAATTGCTCAATGAAAAAAAATACTAGAGAGGCTTAGTATTTCTTATAGTAAGTAGTTTGAATATTCACCTTCTTTTTAATTTTCCTAAAATGTCATAGCTGCATAGATTTCTCATTAAAAGAGAAGAAATAATTTGTTTAACTTCATAAACATTTAAAAAATTTTTTAAAATGGGAAAGTTATACTACCATCTTGTGGTTAAAAGTTCATTTACAGGAGCAAGGACTTCTGGTATTTCCCATTAACTAACTCCACAAAATCTAAAATTAAAAATTTAAAAAATCATGTTTGAAATTTATGTTCAAGAAAAATATATTTTCATATATCTCACTCACTTTCTTATGTTAAAGTCCAGTGGATTAAAACAAGTAATGACATTATGAGTGACTACTTCAGAGAGATAAATTAAAAGAAATGTACACTTAGCACTCTAGGTCCTGCTCACAGCTTATAATTTACTATGAGAGTAATATACACTCTAACACTGAAACTTTAGAGAAACAAAATTACGCACTCTAGGAGTTTCATTTTTACAAGGTAGTCTCCAAGACCTACAAGCAAGCAATATGACATTTATGCTAAGCTTATTAACAATTTCTGTTTTATTCCAGAACTCCACTTTAGTTAAGAAAGCAAGACCACCACAGAGAAAATAAATATTATAGCAACATAGTTTCTTCCATATCTCTTAGATACATAAACCTATTTTTCCATAAACTAAGAATAATGATTAAACTTAAAAATTAATTCAAAAGTACAGTCCTCTATATTTTTTAGATGTATAATTCTCTACAATCTATGCAAGGCACCTGTTCCAAATGTTTTACAACAGTGGTATCTAATTAGAAATTAACACACTTCTACAGAAAGTCTGCAGAAAGCCTTTCCTTTTTAGCATATTGCCAAAATTATAGGAAGACAGCGCCATCTAAAGGTATGCACAAGTACTGAATGGAGTTTTTAGTTTGTCCACTGTGATAAAGGAGCCAAGCAGATGTATTGCCCTAGAACATCGGTTCTCCACCTGTGGGTCACGACCCCTTTGGGGGGCGAACGACCCTTTCACAGGGGTCGCCTAAGACCATCGGAAAACACATATATAATTACATATTGTTTTTGTGATTAATCACTATGCTTTAATTATGTTCAATTTGTAACAATGAAAATACATCCTGCATATCAGATATTTACATTACGATTCATAACAGTAGCAAAATTACAGTTATGAAGTAGCAACAAAAATAATGTTATGGTTGGGGGTCACCACAACATGAGGAACTGTATTAAAGGGTCGCGGCATGAGGAAGGTTGAGAACCACTGCAGGTTGAGAACCACTGCCCTAGAAGGAAGCGCATCTTTGGAGAAGAAGTACTTATTTAATTTATCTCAAAGTGTTTTAATCTATCTCTATAATGATTCTCCAAAATAACTATAAAAACAACAACAGCCACAACAACAATAAAAACTGATGTTTCCCATAATTGCATTACTCTGATTTTGGTACACTTGATGACCCATAAATATTGGTAACTTTTCCAAAGAAATAGCATTATGGCATGTCTCATCTCTCTTTCTCAATATCTCTCCTCTCCTCTCTTCCCTTCTCTTCCCTTCCCTTCCTCTCTCTCTCTCTCTTTCTCTGTAAAACTTTTAGCCATAATTCTATTTTAGGTGTCATTCAATTCTATTGAAACATACATTTTATTATTCTTTCTCCAATGTTATATCTTCCTCCTACAATAGTCCATTCTAGTTTTTCTGGACAGTCAACTAAACTCACCCTTGCTACCAGATTCATGCAAACAAAAAGGCTCAAGATACCTATACCTATTTTATGCAACCTAAATTCCCTCATTTATCACAAACAGGTTTGTTTGTTCAATCTGTTTTGGGGCTGTTCTCACTCTAGTAAGTCATTCTGGTGTCTAGTTACATACGGGTTCAATTACCAATCACCTGAGGATTAAGACTCAGTTCATTCCTAATCAATTGCCTGTAGGGGCTGGAAGTAAAGGGGTCACCCATTAATGCAGATAGACCCCCTACTGGTTAATATGGAGGATTTCATACTTGTGCTATGGCTGATATTTAAAGATCTAGCTAAAACAAGAAATGGCCTGTTTCACCAAGGGCAAACCCTGTTTGTTCATCAATATTCAAGTTCCAGAGCAGCTACAATATTTAACCCAACCAAAAGGACAAGAGGCCTTATGAAGGTAATACTCTGTATGTGTCTGCCAACCTGATTTCTCATTCTGCACACTATGGGGTAGTGGGTAGGAGTACAAGCTTTGAAAGCAAAGAGAACATAGTTTGAGTCCATGCTCTGTCACTGGCCTTGAGCAAGTTATTTAATATCTCTGAGCTTCACTTCCCTCATCTTCAAGAAATTATAAGTTAATATAAATGATTTAAGCAAAGGAAGGTGCTTTGCACTTAGTAATTATTCAATAAAAGTTAGTACTTAAAATTTATCTTGCAGTTTCCCATTTGTCTTATTAAAATTATTGACTAGATAATTAGGTAGGATCCACCTAACCCAAACAAACACCCAGAGAAATTCATTTGTGACTTCTTAAGACAGCAAAAAGAATAAATGAGAAAGACTGAACTCAAAATAAGGATGAGTGCAACTATATAAAAAGAGAAAATGGTACTTGAGGGTCTAATATCAGTTTCAAAATTTAGCTCTGAAACAGTTCTGAAAATCATTAGACTCCACGTGACTCTTGATTCCATGTTATTTTTTTCTGTTAGAAATTGTCTGCAGGGCACAAAGGAGTTGGATATATAGATCCAACAGTATCTGCAAATGGTAATGCTGAAGCCAGAAAGCAGATGGGCTTGTTCAGGGAGATAACAGAGGGCGTAGGGCAGAGAACTTTAGAACCCTGAAGAACGTAATTTTTTTTCAATTACAGTTTATGTACAATATTAGATTATTTCAGGTGTAGAACCCATTGATTAGACATTTATATAACTTAGGAAGTCTTTACCTTTATTAGTATAAAACTAATACCCATCTGATACCATATATAGTTATTACAATATTATTGACTAAATTCCCTATGCTGTACTTTACATCCCCATGACTATTCTGTAACTGCCAATTTGTACTTAATCTCCTCACCTTTTTCACCCATCCTCCCAAACACTCTACCATCTGACAACTGTCAAAATGTTCTCTGTATTTATGAGTCTGTTTCTGTTTTGCTTGTTCATTTACTTTGTTTTTTACATAGATTCCACATATAAGTGAAATCATATAGCATTTGTCTTTCTCTGTCTGACTTATTTTATTCAGCACAATACCCTCTAAGTCCATCCATGTTGTTGCAGATGGCAAGATTTCATTCTTTTTTATGGCTGAACCATATTCTGTTGTATTTATGCACCACTTCTTTTTTTTTTAATCCTCATCAGAGGATATTTTTCCCACTGACTTTTATAGAGAGAGTAGAAGGGAGGGAGGAAGGAGAGAGAGACATCAACATAAGAGAGACACATGGATTGGTTGCCTCCCACTCAAGCCCTGACCGGAGCTGAGGATGAAACCTGCAACCAAGGTACATGCCCTTGACTGAGAATCAAACCTGTGACCCTTAGGTCCAAGGACCAACACTTTAACCATTGAGCAAAACCAGCCAGGGCCACTTCTTCTTTATTAATTTCTTGATGAACACTCAAGTTGCTTCCATATCTTAGCTATCTATAATAATAAAAGCATAATATACTAATTAGACTGGATGTCCTTCTGGACGTCCTTCCAGATGACCTTCCAGATGAAGCCAGGGCTGCAAGGGAAGCCTGGGTCCCGGGTGCCAGAGGGAAGCCGGTGCTGGCAGCAGGGGGAAGGAAGGCCTACTTTTGCATGAATTTCGTGCATCAGGCCTCTAGTTGTAAGTAATGTTGCAATGAACATATGGGTTCATATGTCTTTTTGATTTAGCATTTTGGGTTTCTTTGGATAAATACCTAGAAGTGCAATTGCTGGGTCCTTCTTTGTCTTTGTTATAGCCTTTGTCTGGTATAAGTATTGCTACCCAGCATTTTCTTTGTTTGTTTCCATTTTCATGAAATATCTTTTTACATTTTTTTTACTTTCAGTCTGTGTGTCCTTGGACCTGAAATGAATCTCTTATAGAGAGCATAAGTAAGACAGCAAGTTGAGTGGGGCGGGGTCTCAGGGAATCATCAGGGTGGGGCTAACAGTGTTAGGTTGATGGAGACTCAGATATGGCCAGGCCTGCGCCTGCAGAGGGAGGGATCAGCAAAGAAACAATGACATCAGCCAGCACATCTGTCTGGAAGAAAGATGCCTCTCCAGCCCTCACCCCAAAGCGAGACACTTCAGTTCTTCCTACTATGTCTCTGGTGACTTTGAGCTTCTGCTCCAGTGCTGGAGCTCGGAGCCAGTGAGTTTAAATAAGTCAATGTGTGGGCCCTTTAAGAGGAATGCCTGGGAATTCAGCAGCCCTCAGTCTCACTCAGCCACCATCTCAGCCTCCTTGGTTTTCACAGCCACAAGTTATGGGGACTTCTCTTCCTGACACTGGAACCCTGGGCTGGGGGGCTCGCTGGGGGATGAGATCCCTGGCTCCTCAGGGGGCACCTGCACAGCCAAGATAATCCTCCCAGTTTTTATCTGCCACACGTGGGTGTGGGGCCAGCCCATTAGTCTTCACCCCTCCTACCAGTCTCAATGTGGCTTTTTCTTTATATCCTTAGTTGAAGGATTCTGTTCAGCTAGATTTCAGGCAGTTCTGAATGATGATTGTTCTGTAGTTTAGTTGTAATTCTGATGTGGTCATGGGAGGAGGTAAGCACAGTGTTCACCTACCTCATCTTTTTTTTATATATATATTTTATTGATTTTTTTACAGAGAGGAAGGGAAAGGGATAGAGAGCTAGAAACATTGATGAGAGAGAAACACCGATCAGCTGCCTCCTGCACACCCGCTACTGGGGACATGCCCTCAACCAAGGTACATGACCTTGACCAGAATCGAACCTGGGACCCTTGAGTCCGAAGGCCGAAGCTCTATCCACTGAGCCAAACCGGTCAGGGCTCACCTACTTCATCTTGAACATCAATTTTTGAGGAAAGGGAAAGAAGAGAGACAATTAAAAAGTGATGAGATATGAAGAAGGGGGTAAAAGTCAACAGCAGAGACAATTTTAAAAAGAAAAATTGGTCAGAGATGTGAAACTCCACAAATATTAAGTAAAATTAGGAATGAAAACCAGTAGTTAATAGTTTCAGCAGAAAGGTAAAGTCAGATATGCCAATTGCATTGGGTTGAAAACTGAGTGAGAAACTTTTCACAAAGTTTTACATGGGAAGGAAAAGAAACACAGGACCATAGCTTGAGACATGTGATGTGAATATGAGAAACACAATATGAAAAGAAAAATACAACTGAGTTGTGTCCCCAAAAAAGATGTTCAAGTTCTAACCTCTGGTTATCTGTGAATGTGACCTTATCTGGAAATAGGATCTTTGCAGAAGTAATCCAGTTAAGATGAGCTAATAGTGGATTAGAGTGGGCCCTAATCCGACGAGTGGTGTCCTCATAAGAAGAAGGTAATTTGGACACAGAGACAGAGACAAATAGGGAGAGAAAGCCATGTGACAGCAGCCAAAGAACAAGAGGATTGTTGGCAACTGCTGAAAGCTAGAAGAAAGGCATGGAACACATTCTCCCTCAGTGCCTCCAGAAGGAACCAGCCCTGCCCGTACTTTGCTTTCAGACCTGTAGTCTCCAGAACTGTGAAACAATAACGTTCTCGAATTATAAGCCACCCAGTTTGTGGAACATTGTTCGAACAGCCCTAGTAAACTAATACAAGGACTATTGATAACCATCAAAAGATACAGACCTAACTGAATGCTTACAATGAGCATAAAACAAAATCACAATAAAGCATGGAAATAACTGACACAAACATAAAGGAATTTAAAAGGAAAAGACAATTGGTGAGAAAAAAATCAGTTAAAATCTAGAATAATTATAAGAAATCCTGTTTCATTCGTTGTCATGTTAAGATACCACCTACTTTAATCATAACAACATTTGAAAATGATTTGTACATATCTTTTCATTTTGGGGTCCTGGAGTGAAAAATGATGTATAAATTTAAAAAGTTATCATGGGCCTCTCTCAGAATATGGCAGAGATTTTAGACCTGAAGGTAATTTTTTTCACTTCGTTTATTGAATGATTACAATGAAAGAAAATATTGTTGAAAGAAAGCATGTTGCAAGTATCGGTTGTCTGATGAACCTTAAGAATAATATTCTGTGTCTTGTGCTTCTGATATTTATTCATTAATACAGTCAACAAATGTTTCTGAGTACCTACTGTGGTGTACCTAAAACACCAGGTTCTTGTTGCTCTGAGATATCGTAGTCAATAGGGTGGGAGAGTGCAGCAGGGGGTAGGTGAGAAAGGGCTGCTTTAATAAGGTTTTCCTAAAATGTGTAGAAGTTGTTTCATGTCAACTGAATCATGTACCCATTTACTATACTTATACATTTAAGATACCATTCAATTAAGGACAGTAAAATAGAAATCATTTGAAATGTGGTTATGCAATTCATATTTTATTTGTTCACGTTTTTGAGATCTTTCTTTAAAAAAGATAAGACTACATTTTACTTAAAACACATCCCTTAAAGGTATTTTATAATTAATTTGAGCAGTAGAGTTGCTTCCTCCTATGTGCTTGAAATAAGGGGAATTTTTCCTAATTACCCAGATAATGGGTTCCAGCCTCCCTTTGATGTGTCATAAAGGCTCACCTGTTTCACTACAACCTGCTATTTATTATCAAACAATTGCAGTTTCCCAAATCCCAAATTTCCAAAGGTGCCATTTACCCAAATCACATGTGTGTCCCCTTTGCACCCATTCTAAAAAAGAAATTTCCTTGATCAAAATTTTAACCTTGCTTACCCCCCGGTGCATCAGCTCTTTTATTACCTAGTGCAAATGAAAATCCAGAGGACTATTAGTATGCATACTGCCTGTTAAGGCATTTCTTTTAACTGCATTTTAACTATCATGGGTTTGGGTAAGAAAAGATAGAAATCTTGTGAAAATGAAGATATATAAGATCAGGAGTTTAAAAAAGAAGATTTAAAATTATCCTATGCCTTTTATAGTAACCTTTTTGGGTTGAAAGCCTGGGACTCTCTCCCATCAGTACAATGCACATTTCACATATACTCTAAATAGCTATTCTCCCGGAAGCCTGTCCACGAAGCCCACGGTTCCCTCCCTTCAAACAGGTCTTTCACTTCACTTTCTCATTTGACCCCTTGAAAGTGATTAATGAGATAAACTGTACAAAGTACTTGGAACTGTGTCTAATGCAAAATTGGAAAACTTGCTCCCACAATACTATGACTAAACAATTTGACTAAAACTCCTCCAGGGAGATGCACAACATAGAGAGAGTGATTGAAGACGCACTGGGGTGTGTACCTACAAGATACAGGGAACTAGGGGAGGGCTGGAGAAGAGAAGACAGTAGCCTGTACATTGTGAAAAACAAATCAGTGTCCTGTCAGCACGGTGATCATGTAAATGATATATGGAGGGGGAATGTTCTAGGAAACATTCTGAATGGAACTTACAGACTTTGAGGAATATGAGTATAAGATTCTGGGAGGCAAGAGGAGGAGGGTCCTTGAAATGCCACTGTGGAAGGGGACTCAGTGTGGATGGGGCCTGGCATGCCTGCAGGAAGGAGCCCGACAACTCCTGGTAAGAGCAGGGTCTCTCAGAGGTTCGAGGGGACTTCAGCAAAAACCCTAGGAGACTCTGAAGTTGGGTGCAAAATCTAAATGAGCCTAAAAAGATCCTACATGACGTGAGATAAGAACCCCATGAGCTTTGGAAACACATGGAAGAGCCCAAACTGGTCTTTAGGGACCATGGGAGGGACTGAGGGGAGCCGTGTTCCTGGCTCCAAGGAAGAGACATGCATAAAAGACAACCTTCTGGAGCCCTGCTGATGAGCAGACAGTGTAATGATGTGGAGTCTGAGGGGGGGAGGGGGAGGTTGAGGCTCAGGGACCTTGGAAGATCTAGTAAATTTGGGTAAATTCAGTCAGTATTGCTGTCAGGTTTGCTGCCAACCCATTTGGGGTCTCTGTGAGAAATAGAAAAATATGTGTGTGTGTCCCCCTCCCCACAGGTGGATACATCTCTGCTCTGGTTTACACAGATGATGAATCAGAGCATGGGCTAGATTTCAGTTCCCACTTGCTCCAGTGGCCAGAGTCCTTTTGCAGGCAACCATCTATCTGCTCAACTGTACACAGAGGCCCTGGATGGATTGAGAATTTTCTTTTGGCTAAAAGCTAATTTGTGCCCACACACATGAAACTATTTGGAAAGAGCAAGATACTATTTAGCAGCAGGAAGATAAGGATTGCATTTGTAGATAAAAGTTCTCCTAAGGGATGTAAACTAATAAGAGATACAGAGATAATAAGGGATAGCATGCTTGACTTGATCTCTCCAACTTCAAAAAATGTCTGTCAATAGGAATAATATTCTCCTAGTCCCTCTCCTATCCTGATTTTCTATAGAAACGGTTGAACACTTGTGCAACCATATATAGGCAAGTTAATTAGACCCTCAGTACATTGGTTTCTTCATCCTGGAGCTGAGGTAAGGATTAAAAAATGTTAATACATGTAAAGCTTAGAACTGGGTCTGGCATTTACCATTAACACAATAAATGTTAGCCATTTTTATTATTTGCACCATCCACATGTTAATGAGAATGTTAAAGCTGGATGGGGCTGCAGAGGCCATCTGGGAAACATTTATGCAGAAAATAGTTTTCTAGCTAAGCCTTGGAAAATGGATAGGATTTCAATAGGTAGAGAAAACAAGGGGGAGACATTTCCAGGCACTGGGAATAAAGGTGGAATATTCAAGTATGGTTAGCAGATATATTTAGCAGAAACCAAGTGGAATGTGTAGGAAAGGGGTAGAAAATAAACCTGAAAGCTAAATTGAGGGCACATAATAAGGCATCCAGAATTCATTCTACTCTCTCTGGTCAGCAATAAAAATCAAGAAATTTAACTTGAAACCCTCTGCAATCTGGCTCCCACTCTGTGGGCTTCTTTTCTCAAAGGTCTTCTAAGTCAGTGCTTCTAAAAATTGGAAATGAAAACCAATAACTTGGGGACCTTTCTAAAATGCAGATTCTGATATGAAAGGTCTTAAGTGAGGCCTGAGACCCCACATTTTTAACAAGTTTTCAGGGGCTACCATGCCCCTGATGCTTATCTCAGGACCACACTGGGTACCAGGGTCTAATCCAGTGGCCTCTTCTCATTTTCATCCTTAACCCCTCTACACTGTTAGGCCTTGGTGATCTTCCTGAAACTCTCATCATTGGCTTATGATTCATATGCTACTACTTGAAGCTGAGAATGCAGACTAGAAGTCTATAAAACTCCAATACATATTGACTTATCTTGAGCACACCTTTTATCCTATAAAACACAGTTGCCATTGGTAACAATATCCGGGTATAATAGCTAGATATAAACTAAAAACTCCAGGCCAGCATTTGGATGCATATTGTCCAAGCAACTGTCAGTACATCAATCTCTTTGGTCTTTTAATTACAAATATTACAAACCATCTTTTAATAAAACATAAGCTTATATCATTATAAAAGACAGCTATTGCCCATCTCATGATGTGTGTAGCTTCTCTGGAAAATAATTTCCCTGAGATCCGATCCCACCCCCACATCCCCATGGGCATTGGCTATAATCAATTGGTATAGAGGTGGGTCCCTGACCAATACTGGATTATTTTGAGTCTTTCCTCAAGATTTTACACTAGCACTGAAAAATGGAAACCCAGTCTCTTGCTCTCTCTACAGAAATCAAGAGCATGAAAGCTCAGGAGGTATTGGGGAACACCTTCTGCCACGTGGATGGAGGAGCAGACAACAGCAGAAAAAAGACTGATGCAAACACCAGGAGCACAGGAAAATCGCTCCACAGCGTGGCACGTGGACAACCGTGCACATCTCCACGCAGACCATGTAGGCAAGGCTTACACAGCCACAGTCGGACCTGAGTCTTGGCAGAATGCCCGGGATTTCTTCTAGCGTGAGGGAAGACCAGCCGCTTTATATTTCCTCTCTATCCCTCTCCCTTCCTCTCTGTAAAAAATCAATAAAATATATTTAAAAAAAAAAAAAAAGACTGATGCAAACACCAGGAGCACAGGGAAATCGCTCCACAGCGTGGCACGTGGACAACCGTGCACATCTCCACGCAGACCATGTAGGCAAGGCTTACACAGCCACAGTCGGACCTGAGTCTTGGCAGAATGCCCGGGATTTCTTCTAGCGTGAGGGAAGACCAGCCGCCTGCTAAGGAGCTGCTGAGGCTGTTTCTCCCATTATCTTGTGGAAGGCTGCCACAGGGCCATTTCTCATAGACCTCCCTAATTTCAGTTGAGCACAAGAATTTCCACCTCACTCCCACTACAGACTTCAGTGTAAGTCTATAAAGCTGCTTGGCTGAGGTTCTGAGGGACCCACTGCTCATACAGCCTATCATCTGGCCAGTTCACTTTGGTGTTATCTGTGGCATAAGGGACACAGGAAACTGACACCATAATGACTTGCTTTTGCTGTCTGTGTAAGTAATTAACTGTCTGAATCCATTTGGGCACGTTTACTCCTCACCGGGCAAATCTATGGAAGTACAGCAAGTCATCCTAACAGCTGTAGTAATATTACATGTGACCCTATTATTGGCCCCCACCTTGCTGCCATTTGACAAAGAGAAAAAGGAAGAGATGGCAAGAATTCATTCACTTTCTAAGTTCCCCTCAGTGGCCCAGCTCTTAATTTTAATCTGTTCCAGGAATGCATCCCAGACCTGAATGCCATGAGGTACCCTGGTATTTCTCTAATAAACCTCCCCAGCTTTTTTTTTTCTCCTTAAGAAATCCAGTCTCAGTGGAACCTTAAGCTTTGCCCAGCTGGTGTGGCTCAGTGGGTGAGTGTTGACCCAAGAACCAAGAGGTTGCCAGTTCGATTCCCTCGAACCAGGTCCAGGTTGTGGGTTCAATCTCCACTGGGGGGCATGCAGAAGGCAGCCAACTGGTGTTTCTCAAAAACTGGTCATATTTGTAGTGGCTATCTCTCTATCCCTCTCCCTTCCTCTCTCTCTAAAATCAATAAAGAACATATTTTTTTTAAAAAAAGAAATCCAGAATGCATTTTTAGCCTTTACCATCAAAAGATAACATAATACACATACACACACACACAAAGCTGTTGCATTTGATGGCAGTATCAGTAATCAGAACTCCAGTGCTAGAGATTCACATGCATTTCCTGTATTTATTAAAATTCTAACTCTCTAGTATATTAATTTCTTTTTGGCCCTTGACCTAGTATATGTAATATGATTAGCCTACACTTATTAAAGTCCAATAAATATCAAATTTCGTGAAAAAAATGTAATAAAAATGTTATTGGCCAAGTAGAAGAAACTGTGACTCCTTTTTTGCTGTGATGAAAGTGTAAATTACTCCCATCATTTATCAATAGTTCCATAGTACTAAATGTATAATCAACTATGCTATGTTTGATTTATCTTATAAATGTATTAAAATTTTCATTAATTATAGTTACAACTGTAAGAACATGGTGGAATCACATGTTATACTTGTGACAAATATTTATCATCCAACAAAACAAATTAAGTAGGATTAGAGTTTGATCTACATTTAACATCCCTTGAGTTTAGCTGTGTCTAATACATAGTGTGATCATCTAAGCCAATATACAGATGATTGTGAATAATTAGTTACAATTTAGTATGTTCACCAATGAACTTCACTTTCCTATTTGGCCAGCTGAGTTGTTTGTTTGTGTGTTTTGTTTTTTTTTGGTCAGGATCATGGACTCTGAATCAAGTGAGTCAGGGGCAGCTGCTAGAGTCTTGAATATTGTGGAATTTGACCAAAATGGTGAATAAGTTGGTGCAAACTCACCATCACTACAGAAAAACAACAAAAAAGTAGACAGTGGAGCCACTGACATCATAAGAATGGACAGGCATAACACCGTTACAAATAATAAACTCATGTCCTGATTGCCATATGAATGAAATATCACCTTTATGAAATGTATAGATTGTAGGTGATGCATCTGGCTGCTTGTGGTACCTCTGAGGTGCAAGTAGTTCATGACATAATGAAAACTGGTCATAACTTGTAGTGGTTCCTTATAAAAACTCCAAATTCATTTGAAAATAAATTTTACTAGTGAAAGTTCATTGCTTTAATATGATTTATTAGAGTTACTGTACTATAATTTATTAAGAGAATATCTACCTTTATATAAATGTTTTATGGTGGTGAATGAATTATAGTAATTATTTTTACATTTATAATAAAAATGCATCACAATATGTAAGATTCATTTTCAATCAACTCATAATTTATATTTTAAAATGCCTTTAAAATATGTTCATATAACATAATGTCATGGGTAACTTTCTCTAGCCACTCTTAGCAATTATTTCCATGATTAGTATCACAGTTTTTTTCTAAATGTTTTTTTGCACACAGCGTAACTCCCCATAAATTAATGTGAGCCCAATCTATCAAAGGTGTTTATATGTGTTAACATATGCATTTAATTTTAATATGCCTATGTAAGGCACGAGTAGCCCCAAGCGAGCACAGTATGCATTAAGAAGACCCGTGGAATCCTGAGGTACCCATTTTAATGAGGGAGGTCGGAGTTATGCGAGATCTGAATTAACTCTTAGAAAGAGGCTACAATTGAGAGCAAAAACGAAGTCTGACGGAAACTGTATCGTCTCAACTAGAGCAACCAGCGAGGCAAACAGGCCTCCTCAAAGCTGCAGGCCTTGCGGCTGCCACCTCGCCTCTCAGCCCCGGAACCAAGGAAGCGGGGAACCCCCAG